AAGTCACAACTTTTGAGGTTAGAATTCCCAAAGTCACAACTTTTGAGGTTAGAATTCCAAAATTCACAACCTTTGAGATTAGAATTCTGAAAATTCTTAACTTTTGTGGTTAGAATTCCAAAATTCTCAACATTTGAGGTTAGAATTCCAAAACTTTCAACTTTTGAGGTTAGAATTCTGAAGTTTACAACTTTTGAGGTTAGAATTCCAAAATTCTCAACTTTTGAGGTTAAAAATTCCAGAACTCTCAACTTTTAAGGTAAGAATTCCAAATTTCTCAACTTTTGAGGTTAAATTCCCAAAAAAAACAATGAGGTTTAGAATTCTGCTAATAAGAAATTTTGAGATTAGAATTCTAAAATACCTCACATCAGCACCCCAACTCCCATCCAACCATCCATAATTCCTCCTTCCAAACACAAAAAAAAAAGAAGAAAAAAAAACTTCTTCACATTAAAAGCATAAAAAACAACAAAAGAAAAAGAAGAAAAAAGAAAATGTTATTCTGTATATTATAAAAGCCTTTTGTCTTATTTTCCTATTACAATTTTTTTATGCCATACATTTTTTATCCTCCGACACAACACATATCTTAATGGCATTTTTTTTTCCTCTCTCTTTTTTTTCTGTTATTTTATTATTATTTCGCTGGGGTGAATTGTGAGGTGTAAGCACACACATTCGTTACCCACGATACACACATGTGAGCTGCATACACACAGTCAGAGAAATGTTAATGTGAGGCAGTTTTTACTTCTCATTCCACTTGCTGAGTCTTCTGATGATGATGGTTCTTCTTACTGCCGCATTTTTTATATACTTTTTTGCTTTGTTTTGAAGGAGAAATGGAAACAAAAGACGATGTGGATGAGCGGAAAGTTTGAAGAAGGACGATGGAAAAATGATGAACGATATGTTGATGCTCGTATTTTAGTTGTGGATGTGTCTTTGCTGGTTTATTTTGTTTGTTTTTCTTATTTATGGAGTTGTGTGCTTCAATTTTGAAACTTTTAAGGTTAAAATTTTAAATTTTGAATTTTTAGGTTAGAATTCTTAATTTGAGGTTAGAATCCTTAATTTGAGATTAAAATCTTTATTTTGAGGTTAAAATCCTTAATTTGAGGTTAGAATCCTTAATTTGAGGTTAGAATCTTTAATTTGAGGTTAAAATCCTTAATTTGAGGTTTTAGTCCTGACTTTTCAGATAAGGATCTTTATTAAGGTAAGAATCCTTAATTTGAGGTTAGAATCCTTAATTTAAGGTTGGAATCCTTAATTTGAGGTTAAAATCCTTAATTTGAGGTAAGAATCCGTAATTTGTGGTTAAAATCTTTATTTTGAGGTTAAAGTCTTTAATTTGAGGTAAGAATCCTTAATTTGAGGTTAAAATCCTTAATTTGAGGTTAGAATCCCTATTTTGAGGTTAAAATCCTAACTGTTTAGGTTAGAATTCTAACCTTTTAGGTTGTGTTCCTGATTTTGAGGTTATGATCCAGAAGTTTTAGGTTGAAACTCTGAAAACCAACAAAATCCAATCCAAAAATATTTGAGGTTAGGACACCAACGCATGAATAAATCCATTAAGCCTTCCACGAACAATAAAAAAATAACCTCGCAACGCTCATCATTTAAAATCTAATTTCCTTAATCTACACGAAGCTAAACGTGAATCCTTCACTTGCCATTCATCTTAATTTAACGCAGCATTTTTTTTCCTTCCTTTCGGAATTTCCATTTTCTTATTTTTCACATTAGCAAGATTTTCATTTTCTTTTCGCTCACAACAGACACGTTATTATATTTATATCCGCAATATACATGCCAATATTCACATTATTGAATGAAAATGAAAGAAAGAAAATTTACTCATTTCGCTCAGATGTGTGTACGGATGAATAAATGGAATTTAGCATTCACATGCATATGATGATGATAACGGATGAGTAAAGTTAAAGATAAAGAAGAGAATAAATTCATAACATGCGAGGATGATGTAATGAAAATGTGTAATTTACTAGGGTTTGGTGCTGATAGAGTCCGGCAGAGTCCAGACAATCAACCAACCAGACAAAAAGCAAGCCAGCCAATAAAAAAATCATCAATTTAACTTAACTTACCAGCCAGACAGACATTGAAACAAAATGACAGACTTACCAAGAAAACTATATGACAAAGATCAACGAATAAAAAGAAGGAAGCGAGGAGTTAAGACGTCCATCAGCATCATCTTCACAATGTTTTAATGGAAAATAACATTTTTTTCTTTCTCCTTGTTCCTTCATCGTCGTCCTGCTTTTATTCTCGGCTAATATTAAAATTTATTATTGAAAGTAAATTTTTCTTCCTTAGTGTTTTTACGAGATTGGGTGGGAAAATGAGAGATGGGCATGGGGAAGGGTCGTTATTCTAAAATACAGGTTGGATTTGAGTTTGATTGAGGTTTTGGAGGCTACACGGAGTTTAGTCCCCTACGAGTATGTTGAGAGTTACCTGATAAGCTTAATATGTCAGATCTGGAAATGGTTTCATTGACATTTCAAGGTTACAATCTAGACTGCCAAACCAGCTTTACTCAATCAACATCCCCACTCCATCACAAAGAATCCACTCAGTCCACCCAAAATCATCCCAAGGACATCAAAATTGATCAAAAAAAATGAGATGATGACGCTTCCTTGAAGTGTCCTGCTGTTTGCATTCATTCAATATGTAATTATAATATTTTTTCTTTTGATATTTTTTTTCACTCGTCCCGTTCTCTTCGCTTTTTATCTTCTAGCGTTGCTTCTTCTCGCATAATTTTTATTAAATAGATTTTTTTTTTCAATAATAAAAAAAGAAAAGAAAAAAAATTAATCTCATAATTTAATGAAAAATCACAGACGCGATGGTCTCAAGAGCCAGAGGATGTGATGGACGAGAAGATGAGATAAGTGGGGAAATGATATCGATGTGTTTTGTGAGAAGATGCTAGGTTTGGATTTAAATAGTTTACTTTAACCTAAAAGTTTGAAATTCTAACCCCAAAATTTGAGATATTTTCGATTCTACCCTCAAAATTAACAAACTTATTGAAATTTTGACCTGAAAAAGATAAAAAAATAAAAAAATTTGAACTCTAACCTCAAAAATCAAGAATTGTGAGTTCAAACTTAAAATAGTCAAAAAATTTAAATTTTAACCTCAAAAAGATTAAAAAATTCAGCTTTAACCTCAAAAATATCAGAAATTTTGAATTCTAACCTCCAAAAATTTAAAAATTTGAATTACAACCTCAAAAAAAACAGAAATTATGAATTCAAACTTCAAAAAAATTATAAATTTCAACTATTACCTCAAAAAAATCAGAAATTTTGAATCCTAACCTCAAAAAATTTAAAAATTTGAATTTTAGCCTCAAAAAATCAGAAATTTTGAATTCTAACCACAAAAAATTTAAAAATTTGAACTCTAACCTAAAAAAAAATCAGAAAATTTGTATTCTAACCTCAAAAAATATAAAATTGTGAATTAAAACTTAAAAAAATCAAAATTTTTGAATTCTAAACTCAAAAAAATTAAAAATTTGAACTATAATCTAACTTAAAATAGTCAAAATCTTTGACTTCTAACCTCAAAAACTTTAAAAATTTAAACTTTAACCTCAAAAAATCAGAAAATTTGAATTTTAACCTCAAAAAATTCAAAAATTTTCCTCCATTTTCCTCAAAATAAAACTAATTTCCAACAACACAATCAAAGAGAAAAAGGGGTGAAAAAAGAATTTGAAGCCATTCGACACGCGGGAATGACAGCGCTGCGAATATATTGAACCCTTATTGATAAGTAATTCATTCCAATTCTCGCACTTTATCTATCCTTGTTACATGCAAAATGTAAAATCCTTTTTTTCTCGATATGTGAGTAATTTTTAAATTTTTATTCTCTCTCTGTTTTTTCGTGCGTGCCTTAATATTGATGTGGATTGTGTTACATAAGAAAATTTCTTTTTTAACCCCTTTGATAAAAATATAAGTAAATAATGCCTGTGTGCATGTATGTGTGTATTTGTGCATATAGATTCGATTTATTGACACATGAATGAATGATAAATTTTTGGAATTTTCTTTTTCTTTTGTTTTGCTGGATTATCTGTTTTTTTTTGAATTTTTTTCGACATTGTTACAATCAGAATGAGGAGTCGTTCATAAGTGATGTCCAATTTTGAGGAAGGATGAGGAGATTTAGACATCATTCAGATATCTTTCTAAAATATGCTGAAATTTAAGTCAGACAAGTGAAATCTCTCAAAGGGATTTCTCACTTATGACGTCCGAAATCCCCCCCCCCCCCCTTCCCCTTGGACGTCATAAGTGAACGGCCCCAAATGACATTCGTTATTCATTCATAGCTTACTGACTTGTCGACGCGATTATTTTATTTTTTGAATCAGCTTTGCTAGGCACGAGCAATGATTCATTTTTAACAAATCATTCACTTTTTAAATGACTATTTTTAGCGGATTTTTGAAACTTGTTTCTATAAGATAGCTTAATAATACGCTTTGTTCGGCTGTTCGGGGCAACAAAAACTTTTTAACCAGACAACGTAGAGAGCTCGGTTTTGTTTTATTAGCTCAGTTCTTTCGAGTTATTGGCCGGCCGAACATTTAAAAGTCTTAAAACAGTGTATTTTTACTTTAATTAATTATTTTTTTTTTATTTCATATGAAAAACACGTGATGGGTGCATTCAGAAATTTAAATTATTTTCTACCGTTTTGAAAATTGTAATCAAGGTGCGTTCAGAAATTCGATTATTCTTAACCAGTAAAAATTTGAAATTCAATACGCAAAATAATTAAATAATCAAATGCTGATCGCTAACAAAAAAATGCGCTTAAGTCCCTCGATCAATAACACGAGGACTTCTGTAATTTTTAAATAATCTAAGCTCATTTGTGCTTCATAGTGTGACTTTTTCGGGTCTGTTACTGAATCTATATTGTTAAAAAATCTCATAATGAAGATCGTCTGCACTTTACTGTAAGTTTTACAATTCTGGTATTTAAATTAACAATTTTATTTAAAATTTACAATCACTCAGCCTCTTAAAATGCCTCTTCTTGCTCATTAAATGTACAACATCCGCTAATATTGAATGCCTTTATCGTCCCGACAACTGGACAGCATCAGGTGACGTCTATGTCTGTGATAATCAGAATAATCTCAACATTAAATCGCCAGAAACAGCCGTTGTTACGTCATCGAGTGGAATTCATGCGAATCATCTGAGTAACAATCATGTGACGGCATACTTAGCATATGGCAGGAATATTTCATATTTTCCACAAAGTCTTGAGTTTATTTTTAAGAATTTGATAGCAATTTACATTCAAAACTGTGGATTAAGGATGATTCAGCAATCGGATATTAAAGTTTTTCCAAAATTAGTTGAGCTTAATTTGGGAAATAATGAAATTTATGTCCTTGCCGATGATCTTTTTGCTCATAATTTAATCATTAAATATATTTATTTGTCAGGCAATGAGTTTATTCATATTGGAATGAATGTTTTTGATAGCTTAACTGAATTGTCATATTTATACTTAATTAAAGCAAAGTGTGTCAATAATTATGTTGAAAACAGCACGTCTTTGGTCAAAAAAGTCATTAAAGTCACTAAAAACAGTTGCTTTAACTCGGATTATGTTGAGTTTACTGCCCAAATCATTAAACTTCAGGATCCATTAATTAGTGCTTATTGTAAATACCAAAATCAACTGATTAAATTCAATCAGTCAACATTCTTTAACTCGGCCTTATTCACGTTGAAATTAAACGATTTTTTGAATAATAAACAAAACTGGTGCACAGAAAATCATGAAAGAATTGAAAAAATTGATGTTTTGGGGCATCAAGTGGACATAAAGTTGGTGATTATTGTCTTTTCTACACTTTTAGTAACATTGCTGATTATTAATGGTCTTTTTGAGGTTATGTAATAAGAATAAATGATTCATTATTTAAATATTCTATAAAAACTATTCAAATTAAATTTTAAAAATATCAAATATTATTAAACATTGAAAATATTTAAAAAAAATTGGCGAAAGTCCTCGTGTTATATATCGAGGGACTTCAGCGCATTTTTGTGCTAGCGATCAGTAATTGATTAAATAGAAAGAATTTATCATTTAACGGGTTTTTGAATTTCAAATTTTCTAACGATCAATAAATATTTGAAATTATTGAGGTAATATTGAAATTATAGAGGTAGTCAAAAAATTTGAAAAGATTACACTCTTATGAAGAAAATTTTTGACAGGTTGCACTGTATTGAAACTAAAGAAAACATTAATTATAGTATTTAACGATGGTTTTGAGCTTTCAAACTGATCGATGCGCCAATAACTCGACAGAACCGAGCTAACCCAAAAAACTAGAACTTTCTACGATGTCCAGATCAAAAGTTTTTGAAAACAGCCGAACAGCCAGCCGAACAAATCGTATTATTAAGCTACCTTTTCAAAACAAATTTCAAAAATGCGCTAAAAATAAAATATTTTAAAAAAAATTATTCAATTCAATAAATTTTTTACCAACCAAAATAAAGTTTTTTCAATCCAAAAAATTCTGATAATTTTATTTCTTTTATTCCCATATTGAATTCGTATTGCGCTTATCGCTTTCTCTCTGGTCATTAGTCACACAGGACTTACTAATGTGAATGTCAGTGATATGTTTTTTTATATGCTCATATGACTGCGTGCGGTTCTAAAGGCACAAAAAATAAATTATATTTGAGGGGTTGATTGGGAAATAAAATAGTAAAAAATTGTAATGTGACAAAATTTTGACTTTTTACTGTTAATCAAGTAAATGATGTTGATTACTTTCAGTTGTATGTAGCTGAATCAGGCTTTATGGACCTACTAAAGCTCAGACGAGTCAACTTTATCCTAATTTTATTAAGATTCAGTCTTATTTAGCCTCTTTGTCATTGACAAAGCTCCAATATCATTGCCAGGTTTCTTAAAAAGCGTTTGGATCGCTCAGTTTCTTGATTTTAACCTCTCAAATCCTTAAACCTCAGCTTTGGGTACACAATCATCTTTTTAATGACAATTGACTGCTTTTAGGATAGAATATCCCGGATTATCCTAGAAACCGACCCACAAATCACTGTTCCCACATTAAAGTCCATATTTAACCCATTAAACCAGTGTTTCTCAATAATTTTAGTCCACGGAGCAATTAATTCTCAGGTTTTGTTTCTGCACCACGCTAGCAACCACTATTAACACAGCTAGAATATTTCCGCAAACCATAGTTTGAGAAACACTGCCTTAAACTCACCCAGACCACCCAAATTTCTCCAAAACCCACAAAAATAACTTTCTTCCTCACTTTCATTTCGATTTTCTTAATTCCACTGTCTCTCCATTGTCTCTAATCCCATTCCCACTTACTTACTCATTTTACAATAAATCACTTTATCGACGTTTACATAACAGTTCAATATTTCACACATACAGCACAGCACAATCAACATCAACGACATCGGCACGAACGAAAAATACTTTTTTTTTGTTTAATTTCTTTTTATTTTTTATCAAAAAAATGTGCCGTAGCGTGAAATATGCCATAATGAGAATCGAACGAAAATTTATGCCACATTTAAGAGCTCAGAATTAATGTGAGGATAAAAAAAAACGAGAATTTCCATTATGAATGCGCGATAGATATCGATGAGATCGAAGGGGTGCAGTAAATCCCATTGCATTTCTCCTTTTTTTGTGTGTCTTATGTTTTTTATTTTATTTTATTTCGTTAATGTGATGGATATGAAATATTAATTTCTCGTGTCGCCTGTTCAGTGCGCTTTTTGGAACTAACTGGGGAGTGTGAGGCAGTGATGGAATCGGTTTTGGGATAATTTTTTTGAAATTTTTGGATTTTTGAGCGTTGACTTAACTTTAAAGCAACGACTTGATCTTGAAGTCAAGCTTTAAAGCAATAACTTGATGTTAATGTTAAGCTTCAAAGCGACGACTTGATCTTGAAGTCAAGCTTCGAAGCAACGACTTGATCTTAAAGTCAAGCTTCAATGCGGCGACTTGATCTTTAAGTCAAGCTTCAAAACGACGACTTAATCTTAAAGTCAAGCTCTAAAGCAAAGACTTGATCTTAGAGTGAAGCTTCAAAGCAAAGACTTGATCTTGAAGTCAAGCTTTGAAGCAACGACTTGATCTTGAAGTCAAGCTTTAAAGCAACGACTTGATCTTTAAGTCAAGCTTCAAAGCAACGACTTGATCTTAAAGCCAAGCTTCAATGCGACGACTTGATCTTAAAGCGACGACTTGATCTTGAAGTCAAGCTTCAAAGCGACGACTTAATCTTTAAGTCAAGCTTTAAAGCGACGACTTGATCTTAAAGTCAAGCTTTAAAGCAGCGACTTGATCCCTAAAGTCAATCTTTAAAGCGACGACTTTATCCTGAAGTCAAGTTTCAAAGCGACGACTTAATCTTTAAGTCAAGCTTTAAAGCGACGACTTGATCTTGAAGTCAAGCTTTAAAGCAACGTCTTGATCTTAAAGTCAAGCTTGAAAGCAACGACTTGATCTTTAAGTCAAGCTTCAAAGCGAAGACTTGATCTTTAAGTCAAGCTTCAAAACGACGACTTAATCTTAAAGTCAAGCTCTAAAGCAAAGACCTGATCTTAGAGTGAAGCTTCAAAGCAAAGACTTGATCTTGAAGTCAAGCTTCGAAGCAACGACTTGATCTTTAAGTCAAGCTTTAAAGCGACGACTTGATCTTGAAGTCAAGCTTGAAAGCAACGACTTGATCTTAAAGTCAAGCTCTAAAGCAAAGACTTGATCTTAGAGTGAAGCTTCAAAGCAAAGACTTGATCTTGAAGTCAAGCTTTGAAGCAACGACTTGATCTTGAAGTCAAGCTTCAAAGCGACGACTTGATCTTGAAGTCAACTCAAAAACTTATGTGACACATCATTCAAACTCATCCCAACCTCTCTATGCTTACACACAGTGAAATATTCTTCCTTCTTCTAAAACATAAAAAAATATAAATCCTCATTCATTTCACTTCTCATTTCTTTTTAACATTTTTCAATAATTACTAATCAATACATTTCATTAATTTTTTTCATTCATCCCTCGTTTTTTTTTATTTCTTTTATGCCATTTTTTAATGCCTTTTTCTTCTCTCTCTCCGTCCGATAACTGTGAGTCAGTACATGTGAGTGTTGTTTTTTTTTTCAGGAGGGTAGAAAAAAAAATCGCTCGAATTGCAATTGCCTTACGTGATTGTTTATATCGACAGGAGAAATGTATAAAAAAATGTAAAAATTTGTGAGAATGTGTGAGTGTATCGATAAATTGGGGTTGACTATCTCATTAATATTATAAAATAAAAAGAAAATGTATTAAAAAAAATTCAGAAGTGTAGATTGCAGGGTCGATGATTTTTTTTCAGTTCTTTTGAGTTGGATTTTTAATAAGCGCGGGATTATGTATGAGATAGTCGTGGTATTGAAGGGGTTTGAGGCAGTTTGGCAGTGTTGGACTGAAGTAACCTCAAAATTCAGCAACATAACCTCAAAATTCAGCATCTTAACATCAAAATTAAGCAACAAAACCTCAAAATTCAATAACTCAACCTCATAATTCAGAATCTCTACTTTTAAATTTAGCAACATAACCTCAAAAATTCAAAAAATGCGCTCTATCCCCAAACATGACCCTCAAACTTCCAAACTTACAATTTTATTTTAATTTTTTTGTTTCCTTGTTTGATTGGAAAAAAATCGATAAATGTTAAAATAAAAAAAAAATCATATTATTTCTATTTTTTGAACCCCTTTGAATTTAATTTCCATTTAGTTACATATTTGTACAATATAAAAAAACGAAGCAGTAAAGGAGATCGTTAAGGACTTTAGCATTAAAAAAAATGTCTCAAATTTCTCTCAATTTTTCTTTTCATCCTTTGATTTTCCTCATTTTTCATTCCCCTTCTATTTACATTTTTCATTCACGATTGATTAGAAATCGAAGATGGATAGAAGTTGACGAGGATTCTTTTGCATGTGCGATAAAAAAAATTTTAATTTGAAATTTGAAGATATTTTAATGGGATTTGGAGTGGATGAGTGTGTGTGTGTGTGTGTGTGTGTATGCAGGGGTGAAGAAAGGAACATTTTTGGGGTTCAATCTCTTTCAATCTCTCAAGAGGGGGCTCAATCTCTCAATAGGGGGCTCAATCTCTCAAGAGGGGGCTCAATCTCTCAAGAGGGGGCTCAATCTCTCAAGAGGGGGCTCAATCTCTCAAGAGGGGGCTCAATCTCACAACAGGGGGCGCAATCTCTCAAGAGCGGCCTCAATCTCTCAAGAGGGGGCTCAATCTCTCAAGAGGGGGCTCAATCATTCAAGAAGGGTCTCAGTCTCTCGAGAAGGGGTTCAATCTCTTAAGAGGGGGCTCAAACTTGAAAGAGGGGGCTTAATCTCTCAAGAGCGGCCTCAATCTCTCAAGAGGGGGCTCAATCTCTCAAGAAGGGTCTCAGTCTCTCGAGAAGGGGTTCAATCTCCTAAGAGGGGGCTCAAACTTGAAAGAGGGGGCTCAATCTCTCAAGAGCGCCCTCAGTCTCTCAAGAGGGGGCTCAATCTCCCAAGAAGGGACTCAATCTCTCAAGAGGAGGCTTAATCTCTCAAGAGGGGACTCAGTCTCTTAAGAGGGGGCTTAATATCTCAAGAGGGGGCTCAAACACTCAAGAGGGGGCTTAATCGCTCAAGAGGGGGCTCAAACTTGAAAGAGGGGCTCAATCTCTCAAGAGGGGGCTCAATCTTTCAAGGGGGGGCCTAATCTCTAAAGAGGAGGCTTAATCTTTCAAGAGGGGGCCTAATCTCTCAATAGGGGGCTCAGTCTTTCAAATGGGGGCTCAATCTCTAAAGAGGGGACTCAATCTCCAAAAAGGGTGCTCAATCTCTCAAAAGAGGATCCAATCACGCTAAAAGAGAAAAAGTGTCGAAATTGACTCCAGAATCCCTTTAACAACCCCTGACTCCGACTATGTATGTAAATATACTCATACATAGGCAGCACATGGGCACTCAAGTTGATCAAAATAAAAGAAATTTAATTAATTTTTTTTGTATCTTTCAAAAACTAAACTACAAAGAAGATGAGGACGCAGATGATGGCAACTTTTTTTGTCAGTATTGAAATAATTTGAATAAATAAAATAAACAGAATTGATGAGTTTGATGAATAAATTATTGACGAAGTTCAGGAGGAACTAGATGTGGCAACATCTGCTTTTAACATTGCAGTCCACAAAAACTGCATCCATAAATTTCCATACCCAATTTTTCACACTCTAATTGCATCAGACAAATGTCCTCTAATTTTTGCACTATCGAACAAATTTTTTTCACATTTACATCACCGCCAACCCCACACAGCCTTCATACTTACCCCAAACCTTTCCAATAATTGTAAAGTAATCAATTATGTTCCACAATTTATTGCTTAACTTCGAACGCTTCGTGCAATTTTTTTTTCTAGAATTTTTTTCCTATTACGCTTTGTGTACACAAGCTAGTCAGCATGCCAAGCTAGTCGATTGCATTACATATTCATTAAAAACCCGTCAATTTTGAAATGGAAATTGGAAAGTTTTTTTTTTGTTTGCTTGTCGAAGGAAAAATAAGAAAGAAAAAATATAAATGAAAATTTGAGGGCGGTTTGTAGGTTGTAATGTAGGATGGTAAGTAAGCGACGGGATTTGAAGATGGGAATGTATAGTTTGATATGAAGGTGCAAAGAAAGTTGTGAGATGACAATTTTAGAAATGTAAATATGAAAACTTTTTGGAAAAATTATTAAAATGTTTAAAAGAATTGATTTTTTTTAAAAATATTAAAGAAAATTGAAAATATTCAAAAAGATTTAAAAAATAGCGAAAAATTTAAAAAAAAATTTAAAAAAATTTGAAAAAATTTATAAAAATTTGAAAAAATTCAAAAAGATTACAAAAAATAGTAAAATTTTTTTAAAAAATTAAAACAATTTTGAAATAATTTTAAAAGAATTAAAATAATTTTAAAAAAATTGCAATAATTTTAAAAAAATTGCAATAATTTTAAAAAATTGCAAATAATTTTAAAAAAAATTGCAAATAATTTTAAAAAAATTGCAATAATTTTAAAAAAATTGCAATAATTTTAAAAAATTATTACAATTTTAAAAAAATTGAAATAATTTTAAGAAAATTTCAAATAATTTTAAAAAAATTAGAATAATTTGAAAACAACTTTAAAAATTGTAAAAAAACTAAAAAAATCGTAAAAAAAATTTAAAACATTTTAAAAAAAATTTTAAACATAAAAATTTAATAAAATAGAACAAAGTTAAAAATCACCTCAAAACTAATTTACAATTCACTTCTCAGTCCTTACTTATTCTGACAATTGAAAACAAATACAACAAAAAAAAGTAATTTTTTAACATTGCATTCTTTTTCGTTTTCTTGTTAAAAATAATTTTTTACAGTTTCTGGTTTGTGGTTTGCCAAAAAAAAAACTGACTGAATTGAAATAATTTACAGCTTTGTTATTTCCTTGTAAAACTTTTTTTTTGTTTCTTTTACTCATTCTTTATTTTTTTGTGCTTATTGGATGGTTACTGACTCATTGTTGTTGTTATTGCTAGTTGTGTACTTTGTAAGTGGATTAAAAAATTGATTTAATGAATTTGAATTTTTTAAATAAATTTTCAAATTTTTTCAAAATTACAATCAATTAAAATCTATGTCCTTAGGTGCCTAATACCCTAATTTCTTTCAATATCACATCCATAAATTACAACATTTATTCAAATTCCCAAATCCAAAGCCATTATCCAGTTTTTTTGCTGCATTTCATGCAAATTATTTTTCAATCCGCAATCCTTTCAAGTTTTTAATTCATATGCAGAAGGTTCTATGCAAACAAAGAAGCAAAACACAAACATTTTATAGCGTCGAACTAATTACAGGAATTTAGAAATGTGGGAAAAATGAGTAAAAAGGCGATTACGAATATGCAAAAACAGTAAGCGAGTGAAAAATAGATTTTTTTAAATATTTTTCAATTTACAGGGTTGGAAAAGTAGGGGCAAAATTTAATAATTTTTCTTTTAAGTCAGAGATCGGTTCTATGTGGATTAAGGTTCATTATTATGAGTTTGTAGCAATATTGAGCTCTAATTGGTCAATTTCTGCAACAAAAAGCTCCTCGAATAGCACAAGTCGGTTAATCGAATAGAAATCCAGCGCACAAACCAACATGGTGACTAGTTTCGATTCAAATTCAGCACCATACCAGAGTCACAGCGATAGAACTAGTTATAGGCGTCAACTAATGGAAGTCATTAATCACAATTGATCTGTACGACCAGCGAAGTAAGTAAAGTAAGTTGTAGAACCTTGAGTAGTCCTAGGTTGCATTGGAAACCAGCCTAGGATTTGTTAAAGTGGAAGTCTGCAATTTTCTCATCATGACGGTAGGATTCATACCTAAAAAAATCAAGATCTATGCTGCATTGATCTATTTTGAAAGATATAAACTATAAAATGTATAAAAAAAATTAGTTCCGTGCGCCATATTTTGGGAAACAGTTTACTGTCTCTCCCCGAATATGACATAGTAACTATTGACAGCTAGTTCCCAAATAAGTGGCCCACGAATCAATTATTGTTGACCAAACTGTTAAAATCATGTCCAAATGGAACTGCAAAGCTGAAAAATTATCTAGGACTACACCCAACCCTGCACATTCAAGAGAAAAACTAAAAACTCCACTAATAACACAAGAATAATATGAAAAATAAAATTAAACGTAGCTCTAGCACACTGCAATTCATCATTTTTATAACTATATAATTTCGATTAAAAGCCCCAGATAATGCCAAATAGCACACAGAAAAAAAATATTGTGATTAGCGTTTAATTTATGTGAAAATGAAAGGCAGCTACAGCAAGAAAAAAAAACAATCCCAGCTGACCTGACTTTCGACTATAAATTTCCATCCTAAATACCGTTGAATTTTTAATGTCTCACAAAATGCGGTCGGTGTTGCTTCTAATTCCAGTAGTGCTTGCAATTTATCGTTTGAATATTAATGATGCAGGTGCCGTGTCCACAACTGGACGGGATATTGAGTATGAATGGTCAATTAAGGAGGCAATTTTGATGATTTTTCGGGATTATTTTTGTGAATCGACAGTTGTTGTGAATTTTGTGACGTCATTTGGAGAGATTGAGGCGAAGTTTGTTGCTGATCAGCTGGTTGGGGATCTGATTGGAGATATTGAGGGAAATTTTTCGATAATTATTGAGACTGTTGAGGATATTAAGGAGCATTGGAGGAGAAAGAAAGAGTTTTGTGTGTTTTTTGTTGATTCTCACGCCAGTTTTGAGAGAATTTTCGCTAAAGTAACTGATGAGCTGTTCAGATTCACTGGATATTATGTCATTATTTTTATAAACCCCGACTCAATCCATGAATCAGAAATTCAAAAAATATTCGAGAATCTATGGACTAAGGACATTACTAATGCTGTAGTCTTATGTCCTGAGAACCATGACGCTCATATCCACACTTACTTTCCATTTACGAGAAGCTACTGCGAACAAGTTCATCAAGTTCTATGGAATATTTACAGAACAAGTGTCGGTCTGCTATATTCAGATCGGCAAATCTTTCCTGACAAATTGACCAACTTTTATGGCTGTGAATTCACAGTTGTGACTTATGAAAATCCACCATTTATGACAGAGATTGTTAGTGTCAAGAATAACATATTTCCTTGGGGATTTGATGGTATCCTCATTTGGGGTCTTGAAAAATCACTCAACTTTACCACAAAAAGGATTTATCTTCACAAAAAATCATGGAAAAATCACACAAATGAATACCTCACGGGTAAAGCATTGAGAATGGTCGTAAATGGCATTGCAAACTTTAGTATTGGATTTCTTGTAACAACAACAAATAGAAATTTCTTTATGACACCAAGCTACAGCTACTATACAACAAATTTAGTCTGGGCTATTCCGTCTGGTGAGAAATTGACAGCATTTCAGATGTTTACTAAACCATTTCAGAATGCTATTTGGGGGTTAGTGATGACGACTATGGGAATTAGTGTTGCTGTAATTAGGATTGTTGCGAGACGATCACAGAAAGTAAGTATAACTATTGTGAAGACGACTGAACTTAATAGCTCTAATGTTAAGGCACCTGATTCAGTAGCTCTAGTGTGAACGCACCTGAACCTAGTAGTTATAAAAAGAAGGCATCTGAACCTAGTAGCTCTAGTGTGAAGACACCTAAACCTCCTAGCACTAGTGTGAAGACACCTGAACCTAGCTACTCTAGTGTGAAGGCACCTGAACCTAGCTACTCTAGTGTGAAGGCACCTGAACCTAGCTACTCTAATGTCGAGGCACTTTAACCTTCAAAACCCGAAATTAAATCACCTGAAAATAAAATTTAAACAATTCTGATTTTTATTCTTTTTCTAGGTCAAAAATTTTATCTTCGGCTACAAAGTAAAGTACCCAATCCTCAACATGTTCAACATACTCTTTGGTGGATCAATGCCAAGGCTACCAAGTCGTAATTTTGCCAGATTCTTGCTAGCATTGTTCATCCTATACGCGATTGTCATCAGAAATGCATATCAAGGTGCTCTATATCATTTCATTAGGATGGAGGAGCAACCACAAGATGTTAAAGACATGAAAGACATGATGAATAGAAATTTTAAACTGTACACACTGGATGCCATTAAAATTTATCTTCAGCCTTTCGAGTTCATCTACAATCACACAATTCCATTGACAGTTCATGAATTTGAAGATTTCTGGAAAAATTTAAGCACTGGCAATAACATTGCTGTCTTAACATCTGAGGATCATGTCGCCTACTGGAATAAAATCGGATATCCAAATTCTTTTGTTAGTTTTCTTCCTGAAAAGCAAACCGCAGTCAATTTAGTCATGTATTTTCAAAAGACTTCATGCTTAACTGATGCAATTAATAAGAAAATATTCGAAATGAATGACAATGGGTTGATGGACGTTTTTAGGATTCAGACGATTGATAAGAGTTATTTAAAGAGGAAGACTGTGATTAGAGAGCCTCAGCAGTTGAGGTTAAGGCAGATTGAGGGTGGGAATATGTTGCTGCAGTTGGGATTGATTATAAGTGGATTTGTGTTTGTTGGTGAAGTGATTTGGGGAAGGATTTTGGAAAAGGTATAGCAGAAATGGAAGGTTTGAAAGAATTTGACGAATCTGAAGGTTTTTAAGGAAATTTTGGTTGCATAACCTATAAAAAGCTACCTCTAACCGCACATAACCTCAAACCAAATCGTCATTTCCCCATCAAACTCATCAAAACCCACACTCAATCATTCCATAACTCAATATCTTCTGCAATTACTAATTTCCATAATAATGAACTATTTTTCCTATTCATAAGTGCATTATTCTCATTACAGTCGTCTCTCTTTGTCTGTCTTGAACATTCATTTATCGATATTGTTTTAATTTCCACCCACTCATCAATAAATGTTCCGTCTTTTTTTGTTTCATTCTGCTCTGTGCATGCATATGCTTATTAAATCGATAAGCAATTTTTTTTCTACAATTTTCTTAAAGGAAAATGGAAAATGTCTTGGTGGGAGTGATTTTGGAGGAACTGGTGGAGTATTGGGATTGGGAATTGGATTCTTTAAGTTTGAGGACTAAGTGTGCTATTTTGAGAGATTGTCGCATCTTTGAGACAGGTGTTTGCTTCTAAGAAGCGACATTTCGGATCTACGAATCAAAAGTTTGCATCTTTTTTAAGCGGAAGTTCGCCTCTTTGAAATAAAAGTTCGCATCTTTGAAGAAAAAGTTTGCATCTTTGAACAAAAGTTTGCAGCTTTGAAGCAAAAGTTCGCATCTTTAAAGAAAAAATTTGCATCTTTGAAATAAAAGTTTGCATCTTTCAAGCAAAAGTTTGCATTTTTGAAGCAAAAGTTCGCATCTTTGAAGCAAAAATTCACATCTTTGAAGCAAAAGTTTGCATCTTTGAAGCAAAAGTTTGTAAAGAAACGTGGAACATACATAAGCCATCCTGGTCAACATGCTTAAAAATTGACTATAAACTGCTTAACATAATTAAAGTAATCAACTTAGTCAACTTACGACAAGACTAGGCTGTCCAACTACGGACTTTTGAACGGGACATTCCCGTTTTTTAACCAAAAAATCAACAAAAACCCATGGACAGCCTAATCAAGACTTAACCTTAAACTGACAACAAGATTTATTTCCTATGTCAATCTCGCTCTCTAATCCAGTTCTTCTCAAACTATGCTTAGAGACTCACTCCTGTTTCGCCAAATTATTCAGATATTTTGTGAAATGTATGCTAAAAACATGGTTTTATGTTTCGCAGTCAAAAAATATTGAGAAACTCTGCTTTGAACCTGGACCCATCCCTTATTCTACCTCAGTGATGGACAACCTTTTTTTTGTACCAAGGCAAATCTTGCAGTTAATACATGACATTTGGTTCGTGGTTCATAAAAGTTTTAAAGTAAAATAATTTGCCTCGACGCAAAGGTTGCCCATTCCTGGTTTTCTTAACAACATCCCTTAACGACCTTAACCCCATCCACCTTCTGTACTTTAATCGAAATGAAATAATAGCAAAAAATGTCGCTTTTTATTTCTCATTCAATATGACAATAAATTATTGAATAAAATTACTAGTCGAGTTAAAAAAGAAGAAATAATAATCATGAATTTTAGTTGACATTATGTGCTTACAATGTAGTATTTGTGGATTTAATGAAAATTTTTTTTGATGTCTTTGTTACTTTATGTTTGTAAAAATGATGAAAAATTTTTTAATGTGAAAAGAAAATTGTGGAAAATGTTAATAAAGATGTAATTTTTAATATAAAGGAATAGGAAAGCTAGTTTTTGTTTTGTGTTGGTTTGTTTCTGCTATCTTGGGCATTTTTTGCATATCATTTTGGGACGACTAAGTTCTAGGAATGTTTGATGGCATCTTGATTCAGATTTAGGTTGAATAATGACAAAAAACCACAAACTATACCAAAAACCATGTCTATTGAAAGAAAATCTAAAGCGATGACCCCTATTGACCTCCTAAGCCAACCTTTATCAGCCATTAGATCAACCCTAACTCAACTTCAAGATACAACTCATCGTAATACCTCAAAAATCCTTCAAAAACCCTTCATAACCTTAAAAATCCTCATAAAATCCAATATCAACATCAAACTACGAATCTTTTTAATTGAACATTTTGTTCCTCATTCTCCAATTTCTTTAAAAACTCTGCAATTTTCCATTACAGCAAACACTATTTTATTTATAATAACTTACAAAGTATGTTTTTCAATTTGCTATAGTTGCTATTTTTCCAACTTCAATATCGTTCATTAAATTTTTTATGCTCTTTTCCAGCAGTTCTACATTTTTATTTTATTTTTAATTTCACGTTTCAACTTTTTTTTTACTCTCTCGTATTTTTCAAATGAAGGAAAAAAAGATTGAAAAACCTTCAATTAAAAAAAGCGCAATAAAAATGTAAAAATTTTCCACTGAAACAACAGCGAAAACCCTTCATTTAATATCAGAGATAAGGTGAAATAAAGTAAATATTGGAATGGGTGTAAGTGCAGCAATTGTGATTGCTAGTTTGAGAAAATTAGAGTGGGTGATGTGGAATTGTGGATTGGGGGAAAACCCACTGCTGATGTGTTTGTAAAGTAAATGGATTGTTAAATGACAGTAATTTTAAAATGCAGTCATGTAAAAAATTGAAAATAAAATTTGTAATTTTTTGAGGTTAGGTTCTAATGCCCAATTCATGTTTAAGAAGCTTATGTCTAATATAGGATCATAAAATTATATTCAAAAAGCCATCATTGAAGTTTTAATTGATTAAAAACGCCAAATCTCAGTTTTGGATTCTGCAATAATCGGCTTAGCTTAGTTTTTTTATTTGTATTTAATACTTTGAGTTCAAGGTTCTTACAACTTGATTCAAAACTACTCACAATAGTCAGAAGCTCACGAAAACCACTTAATCTCAGTTTTGGATTCTGCAATAATCAGTTAAGCCAATTTTTAATGCAAATAGTTTATTTTTGAGTATAGGGTGCTGACAACTTGTTTCAAAACTACTCACAATAGTCAGAAGCTCATGAAAACCACTAAATCTCAGTTTTGGTTTCTGCAATAGCCAGCTAACCTTAGTTCCTTCACTCAAACTGAATCTTAGGCTCCTCCCATGTGCCACCAATTCCAACCCTTACCTAATAATCTCCTTAACAATCAAAACTGTCATAAAAAGTCAAACATCAAACTCCAGCACGTGGAATCTTCATTAATATCCCAATGCATCCCTTCCTCAAGTCCCTCAAAAATCTCGTGGAACGTGGTAAGTTCTCATGTCTCACAAACCTTCATTTTTTGCTGCCATCCAACATCTCATTTGCATACAAAAATTCCTTCACATTTGACACAATAAACAGTTTAAAAAAGGGTTCAAAAAATGATTTTTTTTTTGTCGCGCGGAACTAGTTTTGTGTGTCAGCTTCCTAGAACATTGAGATGTGAAAAATGAAACCAGTTTGTGCCTTTGTGACAACAAAAAAAAAGTGGAAAGGAAGTGTTTAAGTGGTCACGGGACTTTCTTTTGTTGCTACTCAGGGATAATAAACAGCGATTTGAGGTATGAAAGGGGTTGAGATGTTGACATAGACACCCTTGAATTAAAACTTTATTTTTTTTGGCGGGAAAAAATCTTGAATAAATCCCATCATTTGAGATAGGAAATCATTAAAAATAATTATGCTCGACCTGATTATCATAAAAATTCATCATTATCCTTTCCCTCATTCCTCCATCCCAATCTCCAATCGCTCCTCTCATCAATGCTTCAATTCCTTTGTATTCAAATGAATCCTCTCACAGCCGCGCAGCATTTATTGAAGATTTTTTTTTATTGATGAATTATAACTAAAAACGACCGGCCACAGAATTCAGCTTTATTTTTTTTTCTTAATGATCGCCACAATTCGATGATGCATTTCGCGTCTGCAGTCATTTCTCATTTTTTTATTCATTTCTTTTCGTTACAAAATAAAAAAGAAGAAAAATATAAAATATAAGTAAGAAAAAAAAATATTATTTATAAATAAATGTGGAGAAAGTTTGGGTGGCATGGGTGGGGGTTGAAGGAATATAAAGCGCATTTATGATCATTTTGATGAGATAACGTTTATTTGTTTAGGGAACGCAGCTTTTGGGGTATTTTTAAGTTAACTGTGTACTCTCTTGGGCTTCTAGAGTTTCTAGATTATTAGCTGTGTACCCCTTGCTGAGTTTCTATTTTATACGCTGCGTACCCTTTCTTGAGTTTCCAGTTGATGAGCTGTGTACCCCTTCCTGAGTTCCTACTTTGTGAGCTGTGAACCTCTTCCCGAGTTCCTACTTTATGAGCTGTGAACCTCTTTCCGAGATCCTACTTTATGAGCTGTGTACCCCTTGCCGAGTTTCTACTTTATGAGGTGTGTACCCCTTGCCGAGTTCCTACTTTATGAAGTGTGTACCCCTTCCTGAGTTCATACTTTATGAGCTGTGTACCCCTTCAAGAGTTCCTACTTTATGAGCTGTGTATCCCTTCCTGAGTTCCTATTTTATGAGCTGTGAGCTTCTTCCCGAGTTCCTACTTTATAAGCTGTTTACCCCTTCTCGAGTTCCTACTTCATAAGCTGTGTACCCCTACCTGAGTTCTTAGATTATGAGCTGTTTATCCCTTTCTGAGTTTCTAGACTACAAGCTTTGTACCCCTTTCATTGCTTCATGATTCTTAGCTATTTATCCCTCATAATCCACCTTACTAGCTCATTTATCCACAAAAATCATCCCAAACTGCTTCAAATCTCAAATCAGCACTCAAGTCAGACCTAAAATTGACGCTAAAATATATGCATTGCAGCATTTATGCAGAAATTGTTTAACAGCAGAAGAAAAAGCGAAAAAAAGAGCTTCGAAATTGAAAACAAAGGAATTAAAAACAGCAGAAAGAATATTCAATGCTATGTGCACCCAAAAAGAGAATAAAATATGCTCAATATATCCACCGAATACCGAAATAATGCATGTGTGTGGATGTCAGTGTTCATGTGAGTGGAGTGAGAAAGACAGAGATAATGCAAATTTCGCGTAAATTTATCGATTCTTGAAAATCTCTTTTCATTGTGCATATTGCATATTGTGCACATTCGCTTGCGCTCTTTATTAATTTTTTTTTTCCTTTTGCTTGTTGCTTGGTCTTTTTTGCTGGAATTGCCAACTGCGGTACAATGGAAATGTAATTTAGAGGCAAATGAAGAGTCTCATTTTTAATTCTTTTCATTTTTTTATTGGGAAAGATGTGAAAAGAAAGGGAAATGAATGGACAGGAAGAGTTATGATGAGTGCTTTTTGGAATCTTTTTGAGTCTTGAGATGAAATTATGATTTTTGATGTGGTTATGGAGAGAATGGATGGGTCACGGGAAGGATAATTTACTGGCTGTTAAGACAATTAGTCAAAATTAAAGTTAGTCAAGTCTATAAAAAAATTGACGTGCGTCATATTTTGAGAAACAGTTTACTGTCTCCCAAGAATAAGACGCACGTTTTTCAAATTCTAGAATTTAATGATTTTGATAAAGTCCT